TCGGTTACATTCATTAAATCTGCAAACCAGAGTAGCATCAAACTATGTCTTATATTCGAAATGTTCCATCCATAAAATCTTAAGATATCAGAAAACTGAAGATTTTAAGAGTGGTGCTCTACCTTCTGTCGAACTATTGTTTTCCGAACCGACTTGAATATAGAGAGAAATAAATAAGAAGCCATCTTTGGCCAATTCATGATACTTGGGTTGTCTTGTTTGTTGGTTGAAAAGCTTACCGCGTTTGATTCTCTTGAAAGATGACGTCAATTCCTCACTGATTGAAACATTCTTATCATCTACGACAGAAATCAGTTTCCCTATCACCATTGGAGAAAATTTAAGACATATCAATAGCAGCATACTCTATCAAAACTATGCGAACTTACCGTGTAAAAAACACGAGTACTTTGTTAGACATTTCGCTAATATATTAAATAATCCATACGCTTATCCACATGTCACCTCACTCTGGTGCTCTTAAAATAGGCGAGTGACAGCCTTGAGCATAAAACGAATTAATGAAACGCGGATGAATACAAGAGATGTTAGAAGAGAGATAAGCTTGAGAATGGAGTTGACTTTGAGGGAATGGGATGGCCTATACTGATTTCAATGTAAAGCTGTTGATATTGTAACTTCGGGTAAAGATAAATAGAGAATAATACATGAGCGCACCAAAAAATGGAATTTTTTTCCGAGTGTTTTACTCGATAGCTTGCGAGTGAGCGCAGCGAACGAATGGGATGACGAGTTCAACACGAGAAGAGAAATTTCATATCAACGAGCAACCATGTATTATTTTGTTTACCATATAGACACAATAGCGCTTTACTGACAAGCAAAGTCAACTTTATTAATGGATTAAAATGAGAGGATTGACAGTCCAGAATAAACATCATGAAGTGCGTTGGCGCTTTGGCTCAAGATGAAAAAATGCGTCGAAACACTACAAAAACAAAAAAATGGGCGTAATTTTCAATACACAAAATTCTCAGTCATTGACTTGGTCCTTATCGACAGGAGAACTCTTTCAGTTACACAGTGGCAAATTTTCCAGTTGTCGATTTTCGTTCTCAGTCGCGAGAAATGCCATTACCAAAGCCACTGAATACATAACTTTCGGTTTATCTTTCCGTTAATCAAGATCAAGGATCGGAACATTTCCGTATTTTCCCCCTTCTAGGAAAGTTTGAACGCCACTGTCTGTAAGCGATATGTATTTTTCAGTGTTTTAGCAGCCATAATCCAAAAGTTTCCACAAACAACCTTGGATTGAGAATGATAAAGGCTTTGCCGTTCATTCATCAATCTGACCGAGTGGCGCGCAAGGCGAGTGACGTGTCAGCAGCTGATTCGTGATATCAAACACACGAGAAAAAATACGATATCCTTTCTCGTGTGTTGTTACGGCTTTTCTCTGGGCTGGAAATCCTTGTATAACACCGTAGTTTATGTAATAAAATGGGTTATAATCCACCAATAATCCAATAATTATGCCGTGAAAACCGGCGATACTCTTCTCTTTCTACACTCAGTCTAGACGTAAAAAAGGTGCCACAAGTTTCTGTGTCGATTAAAATATCAAAAAATTACCTCTTTCCTGAAGGCACTTGTCATAACATATCTGAACACTGGACAACTGTAAGGAATAACGGAACTGATCATTAATCTTTTTAATAACTACTATGCTTTAGTACTACCGATTCGCCTCAAACCTCTCGACGTGAATTCCTCTTACACTTCTGTCGAATTAAAATTTGCCACTTAGTGATCTATGTACTAATTCTAATAAGTCTCCTCCAAGATGAAGGTTGCATTATTCTCAAACGAAGAAACGAAGCCGTCCTATATCAAAATTCTTTGAGGTCCAGTGGACAGGAAGTTTTAAAAAGATGTTGTAGAAACTCTATAGTTTAAGTGCAAAAGGCATAAAGCTGTCACAGAGGTCATCGGCATAGCCAAGGTGTTCGTAGGAAAGATTGATTTATCGACTGTGTTATATTCATCAGTCATCTCATCATTACATAAAGCAGCCTCATAGCCCAAAGGCCGAAAACTAACCTCAATAAACACATCGTAACTTAAAAAGAAAAGTCCTGTGGAGCTAGCCATCAAACCCTAATGTAATATTCTGGGTGAGTGTTAAAACTTGAATTGTAAAGTACTGTCGGCGATTTCTGAAAAAAATCCGGTTCTATTGGGCCTAACAAGTCCCTTAAAACGGGAAAATTATCTTTTGCTCAAGTTAGTGTTTAATGGAAATTTGTTACTGATGCGCCGGATATCTTTGGATTATATTTGTCACCATCAAGGTCTTGTTTTCACGCGTGCCGATAACAATTTGTTCGTCACGCAACTAATTGTGCGTGTAATAGACTCGAGTCGGCATCATGTTTTCGTGCCGCTTTGTGGCACTCTTAATACAATAAAATTCATTTGAGAGGTGGAAACGCATGTAGGTGAGACTTTTTTCAATTCAACTACCAGTAGATTTAAATATATTGTCACATAACCCGCACCTCCCTATTACCCGCAGTGTCGCGCGTTTAATGCAAAATCAACAGATTACCCGCGGGTAAACAGCCGGAAATTACGGTAATTGATACAGAACAATGTGTAGGTAACAACAGCACACATATGACCATGTTTTGAAATTTAATTTATTGGTTAAATTTGATTTTATGATTAACGGCGTGATTGACATATCAACGGCGTAATCACCAAGTAAGTTGATTTCAGTTTTAAAAATGAATGGACCCCGAAAACAAAGACCCCAAAACGAAGTCCCCGAAAACTAAGACCTGAAGATGAAGACCCCCTTATTTTCTTTACTGATATATATAAAAGATGCCATCAAACGGATTTGTCAATTGCTCCCCCTCTCCCGCGAACTAAGTGCCTGTCGGAATTCGGAATTCCGTGAGACAAAAATCTCTTCAAAGCTTCCTCGGCCGATAAGCTTTTTCGCGTAGAGCTTATTGCATTCAAACTGCGGAAATTTCCCATACTGAAAAACATTGATAAACAATAAAAGGCTTTTTCAAATATCATAAATTCAATTTTTCTGTCCTTTAGATCTTTGTATTTCTCCACCAAAACAATCTAACATATGAGAAATTTACCCAAACCAGAAATCTACTCAATAGATGGTAGCTGAGCTCCTTGAAGACAGTCAGTAAAAAGAAGTTTACAACGGACGCGACGCAAGACAGCTAGATGAATTTTTCTTCTTAAAAGAATTAAATGTGATTCAAACTCAAACTTCCCATCACAAATTGAAAGTTCTGTCTATTAGGACATCACTGGACTAAAGCTCAATTCTGGCATAATTAACACGATTTATAATCATACAAATGCTCGATGCCGTCTAACTAAATTACGAACTTAAATGATAATCTAAGCGACAAGAATGAAATAACTGAACGATTACAATCACATAAATGCACGACTGAGAACAAGTAAAACTGACGAAAATTGAAATGGAGACTAAATATAACTACAAAGGAGAAAAAACAATCTTACTGATTGTCCTTTTTACACGCCTGAATGAAATAAACGCACTGGAAAATTGAAACGTATTGCAACTCCGCAAAGACTTTATGACTCTCTTTCGCAATGCAAAACACTGGCAACGCACGATTATATGGATCCTTAGGTTTGACTAGGGGGCATTTGGGACTTTGCCAAACCTAACGGTCCTGTCAGTGCAATGACTGTGATCACGAGCATATCGGACAGACCAAGCGTCAGTTTGGTACAAGTTTGAAAGAGCATCAAAAGGCGGTCTTTTTTTATCAAAAACAAGAAAAGTAAGCCTTGGCGGAGCACACATGCCTAACCAACCATACAATAAACGGACCTCCCTCCGCAGCATTTAGATCACCCCTGATGAAGGTATTAGACAGGAATGTCGAAACGTTGGGTCTATGAATTGTAACTTCTCAGTCATATTCATTAAATCTTTAAACCAGAGTAGTATCAAACCATGTCTGATTATGACACCTTCCTGATTTATTAACTTTTATTTGAAAATTCATTTTCTAAATAACTAGGGTGCTTTGAAAGATTTCAGAAATTTTTACCATGGAAACGTTAGGTTAAATGTTTGAATTCAGTTCAGTCAAATAAAAGAAAAATCTATTTTTTCGGCCTCTGAACGTGGGAAGTAACCTTAAAAGCTGACTAAAGTCACGGCGGTGCTTCACTTTGGCCTCTAGGTACTTGAGTGAACAAGCCTTGATTGGTTTTAAATCACATTACTATAACAAAGTATGTCTGCCATCGTTACGTTTGCTTGTCTCGCAACTGATCTCACTTGCAATGTGGCACAAGACAGCAATTTTACAGTGATGATGTTACGCCACTCAATGCAATATATCAGTGCTCCATAAGGAAACAGCTACATTTAAGTCAAGATTTTTGCGCAACCACTCCTATCCCGGTGTCACAGCGGACCGGGGGGTCCAAATCCGCTAGGAAATCGGAAGACATCTCATCTTTATCAGATGTAACTTAAGCTCAACAGTAAATCAGTACAAACACGTCACGTCTTGAGACGGCTCTTTTGGTCTCGATACATTTCCTAGCGATTACGGTTTAACTTTTTTCCCGTTTTCTGTGTCATCTTTGTACCAAATACGAAAATCATAGCGCGATAACTGGAAATTTTAAAGTTACATTTTTTTATCATTGGGATACTTCTTTCTATGAACAACAATTTATTATTGATGAGCAATGTTCTGTTACAACTCATACGTAGGGGAAAATCCACTTTCAGAAAGCAGGAAACGTAATTCTATCGCAACCGCAAAACTTCAAATCAAGACATCTGTGATAATTACAAAAGTAAATATTGACGGCGTTGCCAAAACATCAACCCTAATTTCATGCATACTCTCGCTCTCTGTCCATAGATCTTTTGAAATGTCCTCGGGTGACAGCGCTAGATCGAGCTAGTACATGTTTACAAGAAATCGGACCGGCACTGCAATAGGAATAGCGTGACAATAATAGAAATAAAGGACAAATTTTTTTTCTACATTATCGCGTTTCAACATGAAACCCCAATAGTAAGGGAAAGGGCGACAGCTTTATAGTACGGTGGCCTCATGAATGAGGGAGATCACTCAGGAGATATTAAATCCACCTTTCCATTGGGTCGAAGTCAGTAAAAGCATTCTTGGTGTCAAAGATTAAGATGAGACAACAAATAATTTGCAATCATGATTACCGTAGACTCGATTGTTTACACATGAACATCTGCGTGGAGGTTATCCTTTTGAACAAATGGCTAGCGAACACTGTACAGGAAAAGGGTTAAGATTTTCAGTTTTAAGACTTTAGTGCCTCTCAATACTGGGCCCTGTTTATCACGCTGACTCTATTTCAAGGATCTTGCCTTAACAGTGTCTCCTCAAAAATTCTGATGTGCTCATACGAGAAGGAGGGATAGGAAAGCTCAGGTGCGGGTTTCGGATTTTTCTCATAAGAACCCTAAAAATTCTAAAAATGCAACTTATTCATTTCCCTTGGTAAGCTACGATTTCTGCTATGAACAGGCTAAAATTTTCCCATCACTGGAAGAGCTAAATTACCGCTCAAATCCGAAGAAACCCTGAACAGAATTAGACCGAAAAGATCTCCCAAGAAGAAGATGGTTGCAGAATTGAAATTGAATAAACATCACACGTTGTCGGACTTAATTATTGACTATCTAAAGTTCTCCCATGCATATCGTCTACCTTTCTAACGATCAATTTGTCTTAGAACTAAACTAATCATCACTGCGAATGCAAGAAATGCCTAGTCACCTCTCCACTTGATGTTCCCGTGTCATCCGTATGAAAGCTGGTGCCACATCTCTTCAAACAGAGCTCTGTCTGCCCAGTTAACTTCGTTTCATCAGGAAAGTGAGTTCCGGGGACGCTTCGACATTGCACACACACGAGTGTAACATTGCCCCAAATGAACAGAATGACAACACTGTTGAAGAAAGATTCACACATTATTTTTTCCGCCGAGCTTCCTCCGTACTCAAGTGATATAAAAGTGCAACTCGTGCTTGAATGAAGTTCACAATCGCGGCGCGGCTCCCAGTAATGATCCTGTCAGTCATTCCGGGCACGTGATGTTTTGTTTCACATATGTTACGCATTGCAGCGGTGCATTTATTGGACCAACGTAAATCACGTTTTTCGACAGCACTTTTTGAATAAAGAAAATTTCAGGATACTTTTATCAAAATATCAAAACAATTAAGGTGGAGATATTGACTTGGAGGAACTATTGTATAAGAATAGAGATTAATTGCGACAGACCTATTCTGGATAAATTAACTTCATAACAACTGTGACACAACTTACTGACGACCCTGTAAGTGGCTTCTGTAATACAATAGGCATTCAGACGTAAAAGAATATAGAGATGGTATTTCCTACGGCACACCGCAAGACGTCATAACGCAGATGATTACGCAAACCTATTCAAGTTTGTCGCTTGGAATGAACTGGATGAATTAACTTTAAAATAGTTGTCACACAGCTTATTGACGACCCTGTAGGTGGCTTTTCTAATACAGTGTGCATTCAGACGTAAGATAAGGTATACCTAATACTGCAAACGGCACACGGGAAGTCGTCAAAAACGAGACTGACTGATTTGCAAAACATTCCGGCCATTGATAAAATATTACGGCAAATTTCTTTCTCATCAAAGACCCTCATGTATGGTTATCTGAATAAGAGAGATAGTTTCAATAGGAAAATAAAAGAAAAGTTATAATTAGATCAAATCAACACATCGTAATTCCTAGCTAAGAGTTTTCAGGAATCTTTGTAGCTCCATGCATGTGTCTGTTTGCATAAGATTGTAGTAACAAAAACAGTGGATGGTTTTAGCGACTGGAGTCAAGTGGGTAAAAAACAGCGATTATTACTCAACATAGGATAACGATCGTTTTGAAAGTTCATATTCTCGTTAACTCCACTTCATATGCCAGTAAACACTGCTTTATTTGAAGTGTTTCTATGTACTCTTCTCCGGAATTCCTAGGTTTTCTTTTACTGGGTTACTTTTCCTTCATCTGCTTAACCTTAAATAATGTTCCTGTCAGTAAATATGCGATAACAAATTTATTTTTAATCATCAAAATAACAATTCTAAGTCATTAATTTTTACATCTCAGTACAATTTTCTCGCATAGGTTGGATTATATTTGGACGTTATTGTTATTATCCTCATGATCATAATAACGATTGTCATATATAATTATCATTATTAAAAACATATCTAAGCGATGAAAATAACTAAACTTCGACAAGGGGAAAAATGATCTTTGGTATCGGCATTGGAACCGAAAACTGACTTCACCGACTGACTTAAACAACTGCGTTAAAATAAAACCTCATAAATGTAAAGCGTTGAGATCATAAGCGTGACGTTCATCACGCGATTTGCATCGTCGTGACGTTTAAAACCAGCGAAAGAGGACAACACGTAGTGAAATCATTGAGAAATTGACCTCAACTTATGTCAACAAAGGAAATTGATATCATCTAATAAAGTATGGTAATGGTCTCTTAGTCTCAATAATTACATCAGCTTTTCTTATCTGTCAGTCATGAATGTGGCCTAAAATCGTGCAGAAAGATACACAATCGAGCGCAAAACAAGTGAAATGAAAGCCTTAACTACTCTCCCGCAGGATTACTGACAAACGATCAAACAAAAGAAGAGAGGAAAGAGACTCTCGAGTAACCCGCTGACGTAAAAATATTAAAAGGTCAATTATGATAAGCCCGTCACGTTACGGCTGGCGTTTCGAGTAAAATGGCAAACCAAAAATAACTAAAACAAAAAAGAGCAAAGCAAACACACAAACAGACAATGGAGGCCGTGACGCCACGGCTCCAAGTTATTAAAATTTTCGCTGGTTGTGTTGCTCATTTCGCTCACTGTATCGTTTTGCAGTCATTCACGCCATATACTGAAGCCCACTCTGCACTTGGCAGCAAAATCATGTAACAAATTAAAGTATGTATCGCATAAGGAAAAAATATTGTACATCTGAATCAAAAGGCACTGCTTGGTGTGTAAATCCAGAGTGAATATTTACACACGTGGAGCTTTCTTCCTTGCTTAATCTGGCAGCATACTGCATATTTTACACATATGAACCTTTCGCGTAGCCCCAGCTCACCGACTAGTTCAATGAGTTTTAATGATATAAAAAGCTGTGGCGGTGGGTCTCGGTGTGCTCATACAATTTATATTTCATATAATTAATATTCCCTACGTCTTTTTCATCAAAATCTTCCTCAGTCGACGATCAAGCTCAAAATTCACCAAAATTTTTTATCTTATTCGAGAGTATTTCTAGTTATTTCTACAGCAGATCTCACTACGAGTACTCACGTCCGCCATCCTGACCACGTCGTAGTAATTAATATATGGTCTAGCATCGGACCGGAAGAGCTGTGGTTTTTGTGTACATGTGTAAACAGGAACACTGATTGCATTGCGCTATTTTCGTAATAAATGAATGATTAGCAGTAAATCGTATTTTAAACATTATGTTTTCTATGTAACAAGCTATACAAGTTCACAATTCGAGACAATAAATGCCAGTAAAGCGTGTCTGCTTCAAACATCCGGTTGCAGTACTATTAGTCCGTGTGTGATTTCAAAATAATCGTGACTATCGATGATGTAATTTGAGTATTTTGTGGGGTTAATTACAATTTTGGGCACATACTCGAAAGGATTGAAACGATGATGGAGGTTTCCTTTTTCTCTCCAAGAGCTAAAAATAAAAGCCTTTAAATTAAATTGAAAAGTTAATTATATAAAACAAACGACAGCTATGTTAAGCATTCCACAAATTCACTTAACGCTACTTTAATATCAATCTGTAAGAACATAATGTTACCAAGCTTTTACAGCTTAGCTAGCAATAAATGTCAGTAACACTTATTAGGCACAACGTAAGAGACAAACCCAACAGAAACATCTCTCTTCAACATAAGAAGAAAGAAATGCAGTGAATGCTGTTTATCTGAAACAGAATAAACCGAAGTAGCTGCTAGATGCGAATTAAGCCTAAGACTTCAATTTCCTTTCGTTTAAGCTATATACAATAAAAAGATTAATTTTTCACAACAATGCAAATTGACGTTTTGCACAAAGCAAGTTGACGCGCAGAGCACGCTATGAAACAAATATTTGCGCTTATTCTTTTTAGTGTAAAGAAATGTGTAAGCTAAAAGGGAAAATCTTCTACTTGTGAAACTATTACCCACCTTTATTTCCTTATTTCACCCTGAAAACAACTAAGGGAGTAATAGGGGTATTTTTACTTTTCCTATTCAAACCGGCTTACATTCGAGTTAGAATCGGATGGAAACATACCCGGAAAATTGATGAAACGTTTTTCTTTTCTAAATTTATCTTAATACTACTAAGTTAGACTCACGTTCATCAACTATATAAGAAGACGATGAGCAATCGTCTTCAGTCAATATTCATCTCCTCACTAGCAACCAACAAGAAGAGCATCAAGTACTAACTAAAGGACGACGATAAAAATCAGAATGAAATTTGGAATTTCACAGGTAATTTCACAGAACTTATTTATAGATTCTCTTTGCCTTATAATGGTTTTAACATCGTTTCGTTAAAAAATAAAAAAGTGAAAAAATTTCCTCTTTTTAAGAATCTTTAAGCTACATTTTTATTGTATGCTTCGGTAAATTAGCGAGTTCTTCTCATGCATATACATATTTAATTGACACTTTTTCAAAGAAAAGCTCCGTAATAGTAGGACAAAAATTTATAATGACGCATTCGTATCTCTTCGCAGGGCCGTGAACGTATCGTTTCCATCATTTTTATACACTTTGCCATGTTCATAATGCTACAATCTGGCGGGGAAACAGAGGCACGACCTACAAACCCTTTGCAACCTTCCATCCTTCAAAAAAATGATACGGTCGATATTGACTGGCTTCTGATAGAACAAGAAAGCTCTCAATCTGATGGCCTAGACACCCGCAAAGACGTAGATTGGTTGGAACAAAATGAAACTCACAAGCCTGACTTAGAAGAACTTTCAACTCGAGGTAAAAACTCAGTCGGAAAGGTTGAAATTAAAGAAAATTCGTTTGGACATTCCAGACATGCTCGAAATCCAGGAAATAATTGTATTAAAAACCGAGACAAAGCAATTGTTATTTGCAGCAAGTTTTTCAAAATTCCAGTCTGTAAGCAGGGATGCCAAAAGGTATATAAATTGTTTACTTTTTCGAATTGTGAGATAAAGACAAAGATAATTCATACGGATTGTGTTCGGAATAACTGAATGGAGACGTAATTTATATCATATTTATTAAGACTTCAAATGGAATGAAAAAGAGAGAAATATATTCAACGGCTGGATCGAATTTTTACTGCATTATAAATATTTTTTACAGAGCTACAAAATTGATCACATTTGTAACATTGGCAATGTATTAATGTCAGAAAAGACAATGTTCTTGTGCTGTCTCAGCCTAAGCTAACCTGATCTGAACAATTTTTGTAAATGGACGAAATAAATTTTTTCTGTATTATTTCAATGCGCTTGTTTTAAATTGAACATCTGTAATTTACTAGAAGAGTGTAGTTGTCTGTTTTCAGAACCTTACGTTGGGCTGACCCTTGGCGTATAAGTCTTGTGAACGTTTACTTGAGTATTCAGAGTTGCTGGGTTTTATAATTCATTTATTACCAAAAGTTATTCGTCGTCCACAGTCTGTTTCTGAGCTGTTTTTGGGTAGGAGAAGGATGCTCAAGCAAGAACACATAATTTCGTTCTTCGCCGCTAAGAGATATATAAATGAAATTATGACAATGACTACCATTTGAGTTCCTACTGAGTAACCTACTCTAACAAAATTGTCTCGAAATGCACTGAAAATTTTACAACAAAAGCGGTCATTTTAAACCTTGCTCAGCAACCTGGCCGACTTTCTGTGCTGTAGAAAAGTCTTACTCCTCCCCTTTCCACCTCCTGGAGATCTGTTTAAACATAAATGCTAGATAATTGGGAAGAGCAGAAGCTGTTTGTGCTAAGTGCGATTGAGTCGAGGGCCGAAAAAAGGAAATTTAGGACAATTCTTTTCGTCTACAATTTGATAATTGGAATCTCTGATAATAAAACTCGATAATAAGCTTATCTGCAAAGGGTTTTTGAACGAAGAAGTAGAGAAATCCGGATAAAAATTTAACCCTGGC